TGATAACTTCAGAGTTTTGAGGCGGTCGCTCGTCTTGCTGGAAAAATAAAATGTGTTTTCGAGTTTCATTAGGGGCAGATCATCAATATGGGGTTCAAAGCCTACTATAGTTAAAAGTGGCGAACTTATAAAAATTCTGTATTTCAACAAAATATCAAGTGTGCTACATTTTTGGAAAGGTAATTTTAAGTTCTTTTCACTTAATTAAAAATATACATGGTGTCCCAAATAAGAAATCAGTTTTTCTGTTGGTAACTCTTAAATTATTAACTTTAAAAAAAGTATAGTTAAACCATTAAATTCTACGTAAAAAGGTGCTTTGGAAATGTTTTCACAAAAATACAAAATTTTCCATAGCAAAAAAGTTATAGCGATTTTTTTAAAAATACACATTTTTGAAAAACACCCCGTAAGACCCGCCGCAAATTGAACCCAGCCCACGCACAGCACACGCCCAACCCATTCTTGATTCCACGCACACGTTTTCCTTAGCAGCGCATATTGAACACAGCCCAGACTCAAGTTTTTAGTTTCGATCATGACTGAATACGAGCAACTTCTTGATTTAGAATCAGGATCCGAGAACGAAGAAGGAGTTGTTTTACTTCATTTGTTTAATAAATAGAGAAAAAAAAATAAAAAAAACGCATATTTGCGAAAAAAGCAAGAAACGGAGAGTTTAGATTGTTTAGCGAAGTTCCAGACAGTCTATTTAAAGAGTCTTTTCTATTAAACAGGAGACAGTTTTTTTAAGTGTATGAACTAATAAAACAAACATTACCGGTAAGGAGTGCAACGCCCAAAAACCTATTGGAAGTGAAGAAAAACTAGCAGTTTGTCGCAAAAGTCGCAAAAGTAGAAGGGGAAAGAACCCACGAAAACAGTGTCTGAACGCAACTAGATCCACGAAAAGGCTGTGCTAGGCGTGGAGTGTGTTTAATTTGCGGTACTCCCTTCTTTCCTGTGTTTTACAAAATTCCCCACGCATGGGTTGGGCGTGTGCTGTGCGTGTGCTGGGTTCAATTTGCGGCGGGCCTTAGACCCGCCGCAAATTGAACCCACACACTCGACGTCTAGCACAGTCTTTTCGTGGATCTAGTTGCATTCAGACACAGTTTTCGTGGGTCGTGGGTTCCTTTCCCTTCTACTTTTGCGACAAACTGCTAGTTTTTCTTCACTTCCAATAGGTTTTTGGGCGTTGCAATCCTTACGGTATTGTCTGTTTTTATTAGTTCAAACACTTCAAAAAACTGTCTCCTGTTTAATCGAAAAGACTCTTTAAATAGGCTGTCTGGAACTTCGCTAGACAATCTCAACTCTCCATGGCTTGCTCTTTTTCGAAAATATGCGTTTATTTTACTTTTTTTCTCTTTTTATTAAGTAAATAAAGTAAAACAGGTCCTTCTTCGTTCTCGGATTCTGATTCTAAATCAAGAAGTTGCTCGTATTTAGTCATGATGGAAACTAAAAACTTGGGTCTGGGCTGTGTTCAATATGCGGTGCTAAGGAAAACGTGTGCGTGGAATCAAGAATGGGTTGGGCGTGTGCTGTACGTGGGCTGGGTTCAATTTGCGGCGGGCCTAACTCCGAAACGGTAACAGATATCGACGTGCGGTTTTCACCATCATGTTTTTGATAAAAATTGAGCTCCAGACACCGATATTAGTTTTCGTCTATCTCCTATAGAAAAGGGTGTTTCCCTTTAAAAACGTCGAATTTGACCCACTCTGTACGTAGCAAATCATATTTTATTTGTATTGTATTTTAACAGTATGTAATAATATAATGTAAAAATGCTATATTTTTACTTTTCATAACTTTCTAGAGCTATAAATAAATCACTCTCTTTATTTTTTTTTTCAAATTGCTGTCACTTACATATTATATTATGTAATTTGCATTATTTACGCATCTTCCTACACAACAGAAATTATGAATGATGTCCTAGATTGGTTGGTTCACGCTGCTTTCTTATAGCAAGTACCGTTTCACAATATGAATTAAACAAAGAATAATATAATCTTCTTCCGCATCATTTCTTTTGAGTATAGTTAGAAGATTAGTAGTATTAGAATCGGAGAAGAACTGTTGGAATATGTAGCGGAATTTAATTACCTCGGCAGTTTGATTTCGGAAAAGGCCAATATCGATTCTGAAATTCAGCGCAGGATTAGCAGCGCCTCAAGAGCATTCTGGAAATTAAAAGACAGGGTTTTCTACAATCATGACTTGAGTACAAAAACGAAACTTGCAGTGTACCGAGCAATTATAATCCTCACCATGTTATATGGGAGCGAAACCTGGGTGCCGTACCGCCGACACATGAACGCATTAAACAAGTTGCAACAGAGACACCTTAGACAACTCTTAAGAATCCGTTCCATCATGTCTCAAAAGTATCGGTCTTTGAAAAAGCTAATTGCGAGAGTATTGAAGTCATGGTGACAAAATCCCGCTTAAGATGGCCTGGTCACGTATGCAGAATGCAAGAAAACCGCATACCAAAATTTCTGCTTTACTGTGAGCTTGTGGACGGTAAGAGGAGGCCGGGTGGACAACTCAAAAGGTACAAGGACATTTTCCACGAAAACTTAAAGGGGATTAACATGCAGAATCATTGGGATGCAGAATCATTGGGATGAAGCAGTTCACAATAGAACTTAATGGAGAAGAATTGTAAACGCAGTTAACAGCTACAACCAAAAAGTAAAGAGGCAATAAAGCAATGAGATTTTTGAATGTCCGGAATGCGGTAGGCAAATAACAAATAACATCACGTATCGGGCTTGTCAGTCATGAAAGAAAACGCTTTGCGTGACCATCTTTTGATGCATGTCGAATACTCGTCAGCGAGTAATGGCAGTATGTATGTATGTAGTTAGAAGATTATTCTTCTTCTTCCTGTGCCTTGTGCTTAGCCGCACGTTGGCGATTGTCTGTACTCTTCATACAATGTGTAGACTGCCGTTTTCGGCTCTTCGAAATATGGTGGCTGCGTCGCTGATGTTACACCAATCCCGTATGTTTCTTAGCCAGGATTGTTGTTTTCTTCCTGGGCCTCGCCGTCCCTCTATTTTTCCTTGTAGAATCAGCTTAGGAATGTAATATTTGTCACCTCTAAGGATATGGCCGAGATATGAGACTTTCCTTTCTTTAACTATGTTAAGCATTTCTCGTTCATAGCCTGCAGTTCTTAAAACTTCTTCGTTGGTGGCATGTGCGGTCCATGGCACACGTAAGAGTCTCCGGAGAGTCCACATTTCGAAAACCTCGATGCGGTTCAGGGTTCTAGCCTTGAGAGACCAGGTTTCTGCGCCGTATAGTAAGATAGGCCATATGTAGCATTTTACTACCCATAGTCTAAGTGTTAGCGGGAGACGGCGTGCTAATAGGAAGTTTTTAAGTTTAAAAAATGTTGACTTTGCATAATTCGTTCTAAGTTTAACTTCCTCATCGCAGTCCCATCGTTCATTGATCATGGCACCCAGATATTTAAATCGTGGAACTCGCTCTATAATATTTCCATCCACGGTCAATGCGGTGTTGATTGTAGGCTGGCGTCATATTACCATAAGTTTGGTCTTGACAGCGTTGATTTTAAGACCGAAACGATTTCCCATGTCCCCTATCTTATTTATTATTTGCTGGAGATCCTCTAAAGTTGGTGCTAGTATAGAAGATTATTAGAAGATTTAAATATTATTTATACAAATATCTTTATAAAAATATAGCTGATATTTATTCTACATCCTTCAGTACAACAAAGACCTAACCTCCTTTTTTGAGCAGTATTTAGTAAAAAATGTAAAATTAAAATTTATACAGAGTGTTTCAAAAAACATGTGCCATCTCTCGTGGGGAGATTCCTCATGTAGAAATAAGATTTATTTTTTATATCAACATAGGTCCGATTCTGCTTTTTTTCAAGAGGTTAAAGTTTTTATTTTTTTTTTCGATTTATTATAATTTTCCTCCAGTGTTTTTAGGGATTCGAATGAAATTTTGAGGGTAAAAGTTACTATAAGTGTTATATATTTTAATGCTAAAAAAGCGTCGACAGGTTCATCAGGGACGTGCATATGGGTTATCGCTGAAATATTTTTCGAAAAAAAATATGTGCGCCACTGACTTTTTTCTTTTGAGAGCAAAATTGTATAGACCGTTTAATGCCAATTAAAAGTTGTATCGTGATATTTTGTCGATTTCAGTCTCCTTAATGAGTTAAACGTTATTTTATTAATCACAATTAATAAAAATGAAATAAAAATAAAATTATTACATTACTTATTTATCTAATCTATTATTACTATTAGATATTATTACTATAAGCCCAACCTACAGGAAATTATGGTATTTAAGATAATTACAAAAGAACTAATTTTAAAATGTTTTAACATCCTGTTACTTTAAAACTATGCATTTCCATATCCATGTTTTTAGGAACTTTTATTCATAATTTTTGATGAGGAATCAATGAGTACTTTTTTAACATTTTTTCAAGTTAATAATATTAAAATGTTTTAAATGTTGATAATGGAAATTTTTACTCAGCATTACACAGCTTATACTATTTCGCCAAGAAAAAACTTTTCGCTAAAGAGAAAAAAGTCCGTGGCGCACATGTTTTTTAAGAAAAATATTCCAGTGATAAAACTCTAACCTCCTGTAAATACGAAACAAAGCAGAATCGGATCTAGGTACGTTAATATTAAAAATAAATCTTATTTTTACGTTACGGGCACATCATTCTTGAAACACCCTGTATAAAACTATATATAATTAGATCTGGTTGATTTACTTAAAAATAACGGTATATAAAGATGATATAAATGCAAGGAAATGTTAATTTAAATATACATACATAGCTCATGAAATATACATGATTTTCAAAAGTTAACCTTTATATACCGCAGGTACATAATAACAATACCCCCTTTTAATTATTGATAATTCAATTTTGCTGAATATATCATTAAATCCACATAATACCATACTTGCCAGGTAAACTCATTTCATGTTTTTTTATAAAAACGATAGAGTATAGTACAGTTTAAGTGAAAGGTATAAGGTTGTAACTTTATTGAAATTAATTTGGTTTACTGTTTACTTTAAGATCTGACAAGTATATTATTCGCTTCTATCGCGACATTCTAGCTAGAAAAATCCAAATGTTGAAGTTACCTTACAAGTTTACATCAGAACAAATTGTAAAAGAAGGTCGTACATCGTTTGAGAACATCGAGGTGGTAAAAAGATGGCTTGATAGTGTGGATGATCAAAATATACCGGTGATACAAGATGAGTTAATCGTTATATTTCTACTTTCGTGTGATAATGATATTCCTTTGACGAAAAAAACGATAAAAATGTACTACCAATGCAAAAAACAAGCACCGGATATATTCGATGACAAGGATATGAGCAGGAGTGACTTGCAAAAAGGACTTAATACAGTGTAAGTAAGAGTTTATATTTTATTTTTTTGTGTTTGGTGGGGTAGTTTCGAGTTTCATTTGTATTATTTTGTGACCTTATAATAACTAATGACCGGTTGGGATTAGACGGTAAGTGTGTTTGACCGGTGAGCCGAGATAAAGGTCCATTTTCGTGCACCTTAAAATTTTGATGTATTTTAAAGTTTAATATAGCATGTTCTAGTGGGGCGATTTTGATGATTTTTTAAGCAATATGTAGCCAAATTATTTCACTTTCTAGTATCTTGTTCTAAATTAAAAATAAAAGTTGTTATCTGTCAATTATACAAGGGTAAAACAAAATGTTGATATTTTGGTGAACGTTTACAACGCCCTGTGGAATATTTTAAGACAGTAAGGAATTTAAAAATCATATTATCGTTTAGGTACATCCTTTCTCAATATTTTGTTTTTTAGTTCATTTCAATAGCTTTATTTTTATTGGAGATATTCGCTTTTGAAGAAGACATTAATTTTTACATTAAAACCATGCCTTTGTTTTTGGTTCTAGTTTAACTCTATGGTTCTAGTCAACAAACCTAGTAAGTTGTTGTTTGGAAGCCTTTTTGACATCAGATTTGTTTCATTTAATATTCTTCTTACATGTACCTTCCTTATGTGAAATTCATTATATATTTGCAGGGGTGGATGGGCCATATGGAAAAACGGGAAAATTCCCGGTAGGCCGGTCTCGATCAGAGCTCAAAAAAGATTGGATTAGCAAAAATTAAATGGTTAATCTTCTAACTAAAGTGACTTAAGATCCTTAGTGACTCCATGACTAACTAATCAATTTGCATGAAGATAACTATTGTAAAATGTCTTTCTCTGGGACACTTATAATTTTAATAATCATCCGTTGTTTGTTCGGTTTGAAAATTTTTATTCTACAAGGTGAGTCTATAAGTGCAAATATTTTCAAGGCTGGTAGATCTCAATAAAATATACATAATATATTCTCTTTATAGAGTTTCAAATAAGTCCAACCGAGTTATTAAAGTTAGGAAATTAAAAAAAAATATATATTTATTTAAAAAAAATTGAGCCACCTCAATTTTTCGGTATTTGCATCTGTTTTAGTACCGTAATATCAGAGATTGAGAAACTATACCATGGGGGAAAATTTACGGTGAACAGGAAGTTCTAAAAAGTTTTTTAACATATAAAGGAAAATTTAAAAGAAAATGCTCGATTTTTAACATCTTTTTTTGCAAAAAAGTGTTCCTGGGGGCGAAATATACCACCCCTGAAAATATTTGCACTTATTTAAGACTCACCCTGTATAGTTTTACCCACTATTCTTTTATTAATAACTAATAAATATGACTGACTGGCAGCAGAAAAAAGAATGAATAGCATTAGGTAAATTTAAATAGTCTCGTCCTATTTAATTTAGAAAGAGATACTAAAAAGTCAAATCATTTAGCTACAAATTGCTTAAAAGATCGTCAAAATCGGTCCACTAGAACACAATATACCGGGTGCGTCTCAAAAGTGGCTTACCCCAAGCCCACGGCCACACAGAAAGCGTTTTTTGCGTTTTTAGCGTGAAGCGTCTTTAGCGACTAAAACAAAATAACAGGATTATATAGGAGTGGCCACACCAAAAGCGTGTAGCGTTCGGCGTGTCTCGCAAAAGACGCAAATGAAAACAAATCAGTTTGTTTTCTGTAGCGTCTTTAGCGTTTTCTACGATACCCCGTCACAGGCGAACGTTATAGTTAATAATACAATAAAAATAAATTAAATAGTATTGTTGCGAGCCGGTGTGGACTCGACCTAACCTCACAATATGGCCCGCCCTCGGATGACCTTAACATCGCATAGACACCGCAATGATTCATTCGTTCGAGAAGAATCGAGACCCACTAGAATGGACTAGTACATACGAGAACATTCGAAAACCTTCTCTGCGCACCTAACGATCTATGGACTATTCTAGATTTCTTTTGCTGTAGATATAAAAGCCGGCGGCAGTGGCCTAGAGAGGGCAGTTATAAATATACCAGTGCAGTTGACACGCTAAAATTCAAAATAAATTCTTAGTTATAAATCGTTTGTAAATAGTTCTATAAGTCGTTTATCGTTATTAGTTTTGTTAATTAGTGTTAAATAAATAGTGTTTAAATAAATTGTGACTTTCTATGCACACGGAACCGACGAAAAACGTAACAATTGGTGCCAGTTTGAGGCCGCTGCGAGAGCGAACGGATGGACAATCGCTGAAAAGGCTACCTACCTACCTACTGCTTTGACTGTCGCACTGCGAGGAGATGCGACTGATATCCTGCAGACATTGTCACCATCGGAACAGGGAGATTATCAGCAATTGGTACGACATTTAGAAATGAGGTACGGCCAAGCTCATTTGGAACATGTCTATCATTCCCAGCTAAAAAATCGCATTCAAAAGTCAAATGAGTCTCTGCAGGAGTTTGAAGCTGACGTAGCCCGCCTCGTTCGCCTTGCGTACCCTGCTATGCCCGAAAATGTTATGGAGGGCTTAAAAGTACAGGCTTTATTGATGGTTTACGTGACAACGAGACAAGGCAAACACTTCTTTTAGCTCATCAACGCATTTGGGAGATGCCCTAGCACGTGCCCTGGAATTTGAGGCCGCGAAAGAATGCTCTGGGTCTCTAGGATTTGTACGGGCTGTTGAGGAGTGTTCCGACGATTCCAAAGTGGAAAGGATTGTGCGGAAAGTACTGGATCAGTATATGATCAAGAAGGGGGGACCGATTCGCTGTTGGAATTGCGGACAGATGGGAAATCGTTGCAAAGAAGAGAAAGAAGTGAAAGTCTTAAGGACGACCGTGGTTGGTGATACTTGGCAAACCGAGGATCTTGCAAATGACCAAATCAGCGATCCAGAGTTGGGCTTGGTGATTAACTGGAAAAACGCGGACCAGAGACCAACGTGGGGGAAGTTTGCAGATATTCGCCGAACGTGAAGTCGTACTGGGCCCAGTGGAATTCCTTAGTAATAGATAACGGACTACTTCGCCGTGTGATCGAGAGACCGGAGGACAAGAAGAGAGAAGACAGATCGTCATTCCAAAGAAGAGGGTCCCAGAAGTCTTGGAGGAAGTTCACAATGGAACCAGCAGAGACATCTTGGTGTTACCAAGACACTTGGCAAGCTGCGTGAACGGTTCTACTGGGTGAACTGCAAAGAAGATGTGAGGGCCTGGTGTAAGAAATGTGACATTTGCGCAGCCATTAATGGGCCACAAAAGCGTGGTAAAGCCCCTATGCGCCAGTACAATGTTGGTAGTCCCTTCGAACGAATAGCGATCGACGTGGCTGGTCCTTTCCCGGAGACGAACGATGGCAACAAATACATTGTGGTAGTAATGGATTACTTCAGCAAATGGGTCGAGGCCTACGCGTTGCCAAATCAAGAAGCGTCCACGATTGCTGATGCCCTTGTTAAAGAATGGATCTGCAGGTTTGGTGTTCCCATGGAGCTTCATTCAGATCAGGGAAGAAACTTTGAGTCCAATCTGTTCCAAGGCGTCTGTGAAGTCCTGAACATCCGCAAGACCAGGACGACTGCTCTACATCCACAATCCGATGGGATGGTTGAACGCATGAACAGAACTATCAACCGTTATCTGGCCAAAGTAGTCTCTGACCACCAAAGAGACTGGGACAAATTTCTTCACCTGTTCCTGTTGGCCTACCGTTCATCCGTCCAAGAATCTACAGGGCAAACTCCAGCCAGCATCGTTATGGGACGGGAAGTGCGCCTACCCTGTGATCTGAAATTTGGTTGCCGACCGGGAGAAGAAGTCGCCGGAGAAGATTATGTCCACACACTACGTCAAAGGATGGACGACATTCATCAGAGAGTCCGCCTAAATATTCAAAGTGCTAGTGACCGAATGAAGGAACACTACGACATTCAAGCTGAGCATGGAGGATACCAACCAGGGAAGTTGGTGTGGCTATATAACCCGCAGAGACGTCGTGGGTTATCTCCGAAGCTACAATCCTCGTGGGAAGGGCCATACGAAGTCATGGATAGAATTAATGACGTCGTATACCGTATCAGAAAATTGCCAAAAGGAAAACCGAGGGTAGTCCATTTCAACCGTTTGAGCCCCTACCAAGGCGAAATAGAAGATCGTGCTGGGACCGTGAGAACCTGCAGCTTTGATCCCCCTGATTCGGAGATGTCCTTTGACGATTTCATGGCCCGATACAACAGCAGTGAGAAGGCTCGCTATGGTGTAACCAAAGAAGATCAACGAGACCTCTTTTCCGTGCCTCCTGATTATTCGCTCGCTCATTGTGTGGCTCGAGATTTGCGGATGTCCAGAGGAATCGCTGCGACGTTCAATGAGAAGTTTGGGCGTGTCGGAGAACTACGCCGACAGGATCCAGAGGTTGGAAGCGTCTTGAGGCTAACCGACAATGCACATGGTCAAGCAAGGCACATCTTCTACCTGGTCACCAAGGAATGGTCCCCGAGTAAGCCGACTTATCTCAATCTATGGAAGACCCTGATTGAACTGAGAGAAGCCCTGCTAAACAACAACATTGCACGATTAGCCATTCCGAAGCTGGCGTGTGGACTCGATGGTTTGAGTTGGCGTACAATCCGGAACATGATTGAAGTCTTGTTCAGATTTACGGGAATCGAGATCCTCGTTTGCTGCTACAACCCAAAGCTGAGATCGGGAGAGAAAACTGTAGACTGCTATTTCTACCAGACTTCGCAATGTACCAGGGGCCAGCTTTGCAAATACCTTCATTCACCGTATACATCTCGGGACGAGCATGTGCCTAAGAAGGGGGCAGTGTTGCGAGCCGGTGTGGACTCGACCTAACCTCACAATATGGCCCGCCCTCGGATGACCTTAACATCGCATAGACACCGCAATGATTCATTTGTTCGAGAAGAATCGAGACCCACTAGAATGGACTAGTACATACGAGAACATTCGAAAACCTTCTCTATGCGCCTAACGATCTATGGACTATTCTAGATTTCTTTTGCTGTAGGTATAAAAGCCGGCGGCAGTGGCCTAGAGAGGGCAGTTATAAATATACAGTTGACGCGCTAAAATTCAAAATAAATTCTAAGTTATAAATCGTTTGTAAATAGTTCTATAAGTCGTTTATCGTTATTAGTTTTGTTAATTAGTGTTAAATAAATAGTGTTTAAATAAATTGTGACTTTCTACCCACACGGAACCGACGAAAAACGTAACAGTATGCATTTTTTTTCATCATACGGTATTATCTAAAAATATTTTTATAAAGAATATCTACTGTTTAGGAAGATTTTGTTAAATTCAAAAATTTGAAAGAAATATTTGAAAAAATGTAGTTTGTAATGTTGAAAAAGTAATAAATTAAAGGAATATTTTCCTAAGCGTAAAAAATAGTTTTTATGCGTAAAAAGGTTTTTTTAACAGAAACAAATAGTTTTTGACGCGTAAAAATTAGTTTTTTACGTGTAACAAATAGCTTTTTATACGTAAAAAATATATTTTTTTTGCGTAACAAAAGGTTTTTTACCAGAAGCAATAAGTTATTGACGCGTAAAAAAAATATTTTTTACGTGTAACAAATAGTTTTCTACACGTGAAAAATATTTTTTTGGGTAAAAAAGTTTTTTTACCAGAAACAATAAGTTTTTGATGCGTAAAAAAATAGTTTTTTACGCGTAAAAAAATATTTTTTTACGCGTAACAAATCAATTTTTACACGTTATAAATAGTTGTATACGCGTAAAAAATAGTTTTCTATCAGTAACAAATAGTTTTATACGCGTAAAAAATAGTTTTTACGTGTAACAAATGTTTTTTTACACGTAATAATTTGATTCATTTTTACAAAATTTGTATTAAAATATCATTATTTTTGATAAACACGTGGACCGCTCACAAATACACGTCGCGTCACTACGTATTTCTAAGCCGTTAATACGTTTCGTTACAACGAGCTCGTGTGTCAGGGCCGTCTCACTAGCTCGTATGTAACGGCCTTGAATTTTTACCCCCAGCGCGCGTAAAGAAGTTTCACTTCAAAATGTTTCATAAATCATGTCCTAAAATTGCATTAGCAACTAGAAATATTTACTATTCTATTATATAATTATAATTATATAATATAATTATATTATATTATAATTATAACAAGTAAAGTACGAACCAACTAAGAACATGTCACGACCTTGATAGAAAACGATCGCCTTCTCTCTTGGGTTCTAATCATGGACGCGCCAGTGCAAGAGAGACAAACGATGTCTAAGTGATGACGCTCGTAGCATGTTTTTAGTTGGTTCGTACTCTACTAAAACCACAACACTACAACATAAAAAAAACGATACACATATAAACTAAAATTCGTAAAATAAATGGCAAATAATAATAATTATTATTTTTACTCACACCACTGGCACTAGCAGTAAATTGTGTTTGTCTCCGAATATATGTATGCCCCGGCCCGTCCACAATTCAATCCCAGCATATTTTATCTTTGTCTCTTCAACGCTAACGGCGCCAATCTCGCCTATCTCTTTCTCACAGGATTGATTGTTGGACGGGCCGGGAATCCACGAGCTTGCGACGTTGATAGAAACTGCAGGCCTGCCGCGTCTTTTGCGTGTTTTTAATGGACACAAATCGAGAAAAGTGCTTAAAACGGTAAAATCGCTAAAAGAGCTTGAGACGCAAAAAACGCAAAACGCTAAAAACGCTTTCTGTGTGGCCGTGGGCCTAATAATAATAACTTTTTTATTTTTTCAGATAAAAAACGAGATTTGGTATGTTAGTATATGACATAAATTAGGATTGATTAACGCATTCAATTGTTTTGGCCACTTCCTGTTTCTCCGGAAATGACTACAACTTTTGATTTTTAAATGGCACCCTTGGTATATTTTTACTTTATTTCATAGAAAACGACATTCTGAATAGAATGACATATCATATGTCTACTTTTGACATTTTCGCTATAAAAAAATCGTATTTTAAATTGCAATCTAGAGTGCCATGGCTGTGTTAAAAACACTATTTAATTTTTAACCAAGGAGGGTGGCTCATTAGCATATTTGGAAAAAGCATTTCTTTACGAATAATTTGGTACCACGCACTTGGTATTTCGAGTCAAATTATTGTCGTTATGAATCGCATGCTGCAATTTCAAATAAACCATATTCGAAGATGTCAAAAGTTGACGTATGATATGTCATTCTATTCAGAGTATCATTTCCAAAGTAACAAAATACCGACAGTGCTATTTAAAAATCAAAAGTTGTGGTCATTTCCGGTGAAACAGGAAGTGACCAAAATCAATTGAATGCGTCAATCAATCCTAATTTATGTCATATACTAATATACCAAATCTCGTTTTTTTATCTAAAAATATAAAAAAAATTATAGGGGTGAGCCACTTTTGAGACGCACCCGGTATAAAACTTTAAAATACATCTAAATTTTAAGGTGCCCGTTTTTTGTGCCGAGTGTATAAATGATATTCATTATTAATATTGTTAAAGAAATATATTTCTAATAAAAATAGCCGTTAAAATGACATTTTTATATTGACAATCAGGTCGCAAAAATTAATACAGTTTAATAATAATTAAACATAAAATTGTGACGTTTGAAAAACAAAACAAATTGTAGTAAAAATTTTGACAGAAACAACAACATTTTGTGTCTTTTAATATAGCACTTAACAGCACTTAGCAGTAATTAAAGTTGTTAATGATCTAGAGCAATTAGAACATAATATAGAAAATGTTATATTATGATTTTCTTCCGATGTAATGATTTCCTGAGTGTGTTGAAAAACTCGCTTGGAATTTTGCACCTCGCTTTTTCTATGAAGTAAAACAGCGAAAAAAACTTAATTATGATTACTCGGGTGTCTGGTTTATTTTTTAAATAATTAATATTCGACAGAAATATAATGCTGACATTGCTGACGTCTGTATTTGAAAAAATTCCTACGAAAAACAGTAATAAATATTATTAAGTTTCAGCAAACTAAAATTAACAGTTTTGTCAAAGTAAATGTCTGTAATGAACAACTAAATGAGTTTAATGTACCTAGTTATAATTATTTGAAGACTAAATTATTATTTTTTTTGCTACATGTAAGGCTTATTGTGTTTGAGACTTTAACCATCGTCGTTAAAGAAATGAAGAAAGTAGAAGAATAATTATTGTTCTTCAGACATTCTCTTGATTTTTTAGACATCCTGGTCCCCTGAAGTCAGTTTTTTGAGCAGGGTTTGTAAAACACCCAGTTTATTCCTTTCCTGCAGCCAAAAACCGACGTTTTTTTAAGATTCCTGCGAAATTTTGACACAATATCTCTGATTTCTTCGTTAAATAATTTGCAAATAGCGGCTATACCGGGTGTTGCATCGTCGAGCGGGACATAGGAAATCCCACGTAAATTTTAATGGGGTCAATTATTGACTTCCCTGATTATTTTAGAGAATAATTCTATTTAGGTTTATTGAAGAGCACTAAAACCCACATTCAAAAGAATATTTCACATTCAAAAGATATTTTTGATTAGCCCGTTTACGAGTTATCGCCGATTTTTTTTTAAATATTTCTACTTTCTTCTGGCCCTGTATTTACTTATGAGCACCAGTCAAGGTAAAAGATAACTGTCAAATGAAGTTGTCATTTAATAGTACCTAAATTAATAAGTTATTGAATATTGTAATAATACTATAATTAACCTTATAATTGATTACTTTATTTTACTTTAATTCATATTAATTTGTATTTATAAATACATCTTTAAGATTTCCGATGTAGGAATGAGTTTTCAATAATAATAAAGCACTAAATAGGTAAATTTCTGAAATGACAACTTCATTTGACAGTTATCTTTTAGATTACAGTTGAGGGTTGGAACCTTTGGTGTTACACAGCAAAATAAAAACACTAAATCACCACAATACACAAAAACACTTTTACTTTTACACTGGACGCGCGTTTCGCTAACCATGTTAGCATCGTCAGCAGATGATTATAAACATCTGTTTATAATCATTTATAATCATCATCTTTATAACATCAGATTATAATCATCTGCTGATGATGCTAACATGGTTAGCGAAACGCGCGTCCAGTGTAAAAGTAAAAGTGTTTTGGTGTATTGTGGTGATTTAGTGTTTTTATTTTGCAGTTATCTTTTACCTTGACTGGTGCTCATAAGTAAATACAGGGCCATAAGAAAGGAGAAATATTTTAAAAGAAATCGGCGATAACTCGTAAACGAGCTAATCAAAAATATCCAAAGTTATTCTTTTAAATGTGGGTTTTAGTGCTCTTCACTAAACCTAAATAGAATTATTCTCTAAAATAATTAGGGAAGCCAATAATTGACCCCATTAAAATTTACATGGGATATCCTATGTCCCATCCGACGATGCAACACCCGGTATACCTGCTCGAACCACTTTGTTTGCAAGACACTACCAAATCAATCTTTGTTTATGAGTGTGAAAAATATTCGTTTATAAATAATTAATAGATTATTATAATAAATACAATATTATTTGAAGCTTTTTTTATTCTTTTTCAGTCATATGTCTAGCATCCCAGTAAGAACAGAAGAAAACTATGTAGTTCATTTTTTCAAATTAAACGATCCTAGTTATTCCAATTTTGACTTAGTTCCAATAATGAAGCTTTCTTACATGTTATTAGACATTACCCAAGAGGAAAATTTACCTAATGGGTTGATTGCAGTGATAGACATGAGAGGTGTAAGTTAAATTACGAGGATGGTCTGAAAAGTTTCCGACTTCAACGTGAAGATGGCAGCACCCGTAGATAAAAGCTAGTTAATTTTTATTGTTCATCTGTTGACAGTTATTCACAAAAATTTCAGTCATTTTGGATGCGCGGTTGTTATGTAACAGCCGTTTGAGTGAGTTGATGTGAGTGTTTTTGCGAAAATGGACAAAATCGAGTATCGAGCTGTACACTAAATATCTGGTTTTGAAAGGCAATACGCCTATACAAATTAAACATGAGTTGGATTCTGTGTATGGGGTCTCTGCACCATCATTTATCCACAGTGAAATTTTGGGCAGCTGAATTTAAACGTGGCCGTAAGAGCTTGGGAGACGATGAACATTCGGGACGTCCAAAAACTGTAACTACCGACGATAATATCGCCAAAGTTCACCAAATGGTGCTAGACGACCGCCGAATTGAAGTGAGAGATAGCAGAGATTTTGAACATATCAAAAGAACGTGTTTGTCACATATTAAATCAAGATTTAGGCATGAGAAAGCTGTCCGCGCGTTGGGTGCTGCGTTTGCTCACGTTAGACCAAAAGCGTGTTCGAATGAACATTTCCAACGTTATGTTGGCGCAGTTTAGGCGCAATAAATCCGAGTTTTGGCATCGATTTATTACTGTAGATGAAACTTGGATACACCACTACACACCAGAAACAAAAATACAGTCCAAATAGTGGACGGCAAAGGGAGTACCAGCTCCAAAAAAAGCAAAAACTGTTATTTCGGCTGGGAAAGTGATGGCGACTGTTTTTTGAAATAGTCATGGAGTTATTTTAATGGATTATCTTCAAAAAGGAAAAACCATCACAGGAGCATACTACGCATCATAACTTGACAAGCTAAAAGCAGAACTTGCGGAAAACGGCCACATTTACAGAAAAAGAAAATCCTGTTTCATCAAGATAACGCACCGTCTCACACCTCAGCGATTGCCATGGCGAAAATCCACGAATTACGGTTTGAACTCCTTGACCATCCGCCTTACTCACCAGATCTAGCCCCTAGCGATTTCTTTTTGTTCCCTCATTTAAAAATTGCGCTCGGAGGACAGATATTTTCGTCAAATGAAGAGGCAATCACCTTCGTGAACCACTATTTTGCAGAGAAAAACGCCGAATACTATTTGGACGGGATACAGAGATGGGAGCATCGCTGGGGAAAGTGTGTAGAGTTACAAGGGGACTATGTTGAAAAATAAAAACAAATATTCAGAAAAAATGTCTTGTATCTTTGTTAAGTCAGAAACTTTTCAGACCACCCTCGTACTATGATAAAATTGTGTGTGCACTATGTGTTTTTTTTTGTTTCACTTCAAAAATTTGAAGATTTTGTATTTTTTGTATTTTTACTTTTAGTTTAGTCTGATGCACCTAACCCGATTAAAACTAACAGCTATAAAGAATTATCTACAATTTTTACAAGAAGGCATTCCTCTGCAGTTGAAGGTGATTCACGTACTGAATGCTGTCTATTTCTTCGACAAAATTATGAATATCATCAAGGTTTTTATGAAAACCGAACTTATAAACATGGTAAGAAGCATATTTAGTTCTTAATTATTATGTAATATTAGTTTTAGTCAATGACTAAAGAATACAAGGACGAATAACACCTGCGACCAAATCGTTATCATACCACCAAACAGTGCCGTGGCACATATTTTTCTTAACATAGTCGCTTGAAGAGATATTTTATTTTTGATAAATGTTTTGACTACGCCTATGGTGTATGCGGTGGTGTCATACTAATTAATTACGAAAAAAACGTATTAAAATGTTAACAAAAGGTACAAAACTAGTATCGACGTATAGCACATAGCAAGTACATATAATATCAGAAAAATAATTATCAAATTCAATAAAAAAACGCTAAAAAGGTGGAGTGGGCTGTTTATTTACCTATGGAAACGTAACTCCTGGCTCTTTCTTATCGCTGCTGCTTTTACACTTGACAGCTGAACAACTAATCACCATTGTAATAAAGTTTATACAAAGTTTACTACACAGAAACTATTAAAAATCGCTAAAATTGTCGCTGATGACCAGCTGATGAATCATTCGTTACAACAAAAAAAATGGCGTCTAACATCACAAATTCTGGTGCAGCCTGTATATTGGCGTTACATGTTCTTTCATATTCCTTAGTCGTTAGTTTTAGTACACTATTTTTTTCACCCTGTATGTAGATTTTTGTTTTATTATTAATAATATAAAAATAAATTTTCAGATTAAGGTGCATCCTCCAAACATAGAAAGCGAAAAATTATTTTCTTTGATACCTAAACAATGTTTGCCTGAAGAGTATGGTGGAGATTTACCTTCGATAGAAGTTTTACATGAAAAAACTGTTAAACAATATACAGAGAAACAGGATTTTTGGAAACTTGAAGAAAAAATGAGAAAAAACAATAATTGATCGTATCAAATTGTATGTTATTTTGTTTAATATTAGTTTATTGTTGTTACCAAAATTTTTTTAAATAAATATATTGTAAAAGTTTTGAAGGAATTACTTACCTAGAGAATTTATTTTTTTTAAACCAAAATTAGGGGCAATCTACATTAAAGGCTGTTCAGCCATCATTCACCGTTACGTCATCAATATTTGTCAAATATGAGTTTTAGAGTGTATCTGAGATCAGTTCATATTGTTTAGCAGCGGCGTGCGGTCCATGGAAGCGGGGGAAGCACCGCTTCCCTAAACTTTTTAAAGATAAAAAAATAAATAGTTAAACGTTAACAATACTGTTATTTTATAACAAAAAATTAATTTAATTTGTTAAAATTATTTATTTGAAACCTTACATAAACGTAGTAAATTTAATTAGCCGTTTACTGCATGGATGCGCGCCTGGAAATCGCCGCCGGTCGCCTATGCCTCCTTCATGTAGGTGTTATTGACCTCGAACGCAAACGACAAATTTAAGCTGGAAAATCGCGCACAGTTGCTAGCGACGGCAGCGATCTTTCGCCCGCCTTCCGCGACTTTTCATTTATCGGGACGGGTTCGCTTGCGATTTTATAGGTAATATTGTATTTTTTTCGAATTTAACTTACTCTGTTTCGTTTATAATGGAGGGTCAAGAAAGACAATCTTCTGCTTCTGCTAGTGTGGACAATAATTTAGACTGTGTTTGTGTTATATGTGTGATATTAAAAAAGGGATTTTTTAGTCGGAACTTCCAAGAAAAAAATGACATTATTAGGTCTGGTAGGCCTAACTATTAACGGAAAATCCGAAATTTTATGATGTTGTTATAGACAAATTTGCAATGGCTGATAGACGAATAGACCCCAAATACAAATAGGTGCCTATCGCGCGTCAAGTGCTTCGGAAAATTAATTTAAAATATCGTATTTTAACTATTATAACTTTATGTGTTTCTGTTTGTTTAACAATTTTCGATAGAATTTTAATCGAACAATGGAATTGGCCTCGGAATTTTCAAAGGAAAGTTTTTTAAGAAAATGTAAAAGTAAAGTCTCGAAATAGGGTTTTTTACCGATTCACTTTCGTTTAGAAAATTTTAAGTACGTTCCTCCCATCAGTTTGTGTTTTACATAGGAATAGAAATATTACACCTTTGCATTGTACTTACTTGATATACGGCGTTCACGGGCAAGAGTGTTATACCAGCGTCCCTTTCTCGAGATAAATAATTTATAACCTTAGCAATAAGCTCTTGTTCATTTTCGTTAAATATTTGAGACATTTTTGCAATAAAAAAAATTGAATTTTGTTTGACAGCAACACATAGATAAATGAAACAAGTTTAGATTGGAAAGTGCCCATAAGGACAATGTAAACACTATTTGGCGCTATTCTTGCAACGGTCGCGACCTAAAACTTTTGAAAATTTCGGAGCGGTTCGGCTTTTTCCGGAATTATATCGCCAAATATTGTTTATTCAAATTTATTATTATTTTCGTTTAATTTTATAAATAAAATACAGTGTGTTGCATACAAGAAACTTTATTTTATATAAGGACGCATGTATGAAATACCTATGAAACACTGGAAACCGACGTTATGCCATGATCCACGATGGTTTTTGCAGTTCACAGTTCACAGTTCACAGCACAGCTTTTTAAGTTTTTAATGCCACTTTTTCACAATTATCACCGGTTGGAGTAAATAAAACTTGAATTAAACTCACAAGATAGCAATAATTACTTTGAAAATGTACGTTATAAACACTTTTCGGAATTAATTTAATGAGAGCGGTTTTGATTTTGAAAGATTATTATGATTTTTGAAGATTCTGACTTTGACAAGAGAAAATTATTTCTGTTTTTGTTAGCCGTTGTTCTTAGCGACCGCTATAGCAGCGCCAGATCGCGTATAACGGTCGCGACCCAAAATAATTTCGCGACCCAAAATTTTTACGGGATTTCCAATCTAAACTTGTTGCATTTATCTATGCAGCAACAATCGAATTCTAATTTTGACATTGATCGATGTCCGTCAATAAAATTATAACCCCAAATCAAATGACAATGACACTTACTAAAAAGAATATGCAGTGATTTACGAAATGCCCTAATGACGTCACCAATCTCTTTTATCTGGTTGGCAAGTGATTGAGAGAGATCGACAATATTGTATGACGTGACGTTGAACGATAACTGAACATTCTATACCGTCATTCATTAACATATTTTTTGTACAAGTTAAAGAATTACAAACAATAAAAAGACTTTCACTATTAAATATTTTTTGTAGTGTTAAAACAAACATTTACAAAGTGCTATTAATTTTTTGATAGATTTGTACATAATAATAAATCAAAATGTGTTATGTACTTCCTGACAGTTCTATAAAATATGCTATATTGGAAACAAAACGTAACAAAACAAGTGCATAAGTTAAATAATGCTACGAAAATTACATTCATTCTTCACTGGTTACCTACTAATTAAAACACTGTAATATATTGATGAGATTTTGACAGTAACTGTTAACTGTCTATACAGAGTGAGTCTTCAATAAATGCAAATATTGTCAGGGCTGGTAGATCTCCATAAAAGAAACATATTTTCTCTTTACCGTTTTTCCAGTAAGTCCAAAATAACCGAGTTATTTTACTTTGAAAATTTCCAAAAAAAGTTTTGCTTAAATTTTGAGAACCACTGGATCTTCTTGTACATTTAATGTGTAATACTACCATATTAGCAATAAATATGTTTTTTTTAACTAAAAACTAAAAAAAATCCAAAAATAATTTTCAAGAAATGACAAATCTTTCAATTTTTCTTTGTAAAAACCTCATAATCGTGTTTCTGGGGTCAAAATATAGTACCTACCCCTAACAAGATTTGCACTTATTTATGACTCACCCTGTATAATACACGTTACATGTAGTAAAATTAATTATGAAATTGACTTAGAATTAGATGTACATCAGAGATGTACATCAAAAGTAACACCGTGTAGTGTAACTTTAATGTCATGCTGTGGGTATGCTTTGAAACAAAGGCATATCTACTGGCAGGTACAATTTCGATTGGCCACAGATATCGAACGCTGTATTGCTCAAGACACATCGGAAAGTGAAAGTAAAACGTGAATATACGTCTGTTTATGTTACGCAACTGTCGTTTCTTATTTTACATTAGGAATTATGAAAATGGTTTTCGGTAGGTAAAGAGAAAATACAGCCCGGAAAACGATCGACTAGGTCAAGTTCTTGACCTCGTTGTGTCCTTTACTGAAAGTTGCATTAGATATGTACTTATAGTTAATATATACATATAATCCGATTCACGAAAAATGATTATTGCGTCAGATATATCTTCTTCAAATCTAGAATGCCCCTTTATCTAATGAAGAAAACATTCGACCAATGTATACTACCGGTCATGACCAGGATGGGGAAGTGGAAATCGGCCCGGGATAAACAGACAACCGGCCCAAATCCACAAAAACAAAATGACCATAACGAAGAAACATATTTTATTTATTAATACAAGGTGTCCCGGAAATAAGTGCTAGTATTTTAACTGGTAGTATAGTTGAACCCCAGAAACACGCCTATGAGGTTTTTTTTTCGCAAAAAAAAACTTTTCGGAAAAATTCGGAATTTATTGAAAAATGTTTTGGAAATTTTTTTAGTTTTTAGTTAAAAACAAAGGTTAAAAAACATAATTTCTTGATAATATGGCAACATAGGTAGTAGATTAAATTTAAAAGAAAGAAAATCTAGAAAAGATTCAGAAAGGTTCTCAAAATTTGAGCAAAAAATGATTTTTTTTGGAAATTTTCAAAGTAAAATAACTGCGTTATTTTGGACTTATTTGAAAAACCTAAGTGAAAAACGATGAAGAGAAAATATGTTTCTTTTATCGAGATCTACCACTCCTTAAAATACTTGCACTTATTTCTGGGACAAGCTGTATATAAGTAAGGGTGTTTTTCGCTCGTGCGAAAAAGCTCTTTTGCCTCCGGTTTTTTAAAAAAAAAATTAAATTGTCTTGATCAACATTTTCGTAAAGACCAATATTGGGTCGGACATCTGAATTTTTACTACAAAATGGCTCAGTTTTAGAGGGTTCTACTGCTTTATTTCCATTATCGATAACGGTAATTTCATCTTGAATAGGCTACGATTCTGAGTCACGATTTTGAGAAACTTTAAGACTTCCTGATTCATTCAGTTCAGCTGACCCAATCCTCTGTGAAATACATTACTTTTAGCTTTTCGGGTATATACTTCGCACATTGTACAGAAATTCTCTCTTTCTGCTACAGCAGCAGCCTCCTAGTGTACACGTGTTTTTAACTGAATAAACCGCGGTTGCCATTAAAACTGCAGCATTTTTTCCTCAGCACGAAACTTTTCCTCTATACTTTTGTACACCAGCACTTCCAGCACGAAACTTTTCCTCTATACTTTTGTACATTTGGCATCTTGTATGATAATGCCATGACTCAAACGAAAAAACCTAGGCAATACCTAAGCAGTGGGACATAAATGTGTTCTGATGTAATGTTATGTTACAGTCCATAATAAGAATGTTTGGATTTTCAAGACATATTAATATTTTATTATCTAATCTAGTTTAAACCTTATTTAACTCTTCTCTGCTGTCTCAGTAATTTTTAGCCAAATTCATTTTAGCAACATTTTAAACACCAATTTAGACTTGGCTTTTAGTCCTCAGACTTGGCTTTTAGTCCGTCCCAAATTCAAGCCAAGCATAGATATGTTTTCTCCGTCAACCGCAGAGTTTGCCTCTAATTCTTTTCCTTCTTACAAAGGGGAGCTCGAAAAATATTGCACCGAGGCCCCCAGTTGTCAATCTACGCTACCATATTCTTAGTATACATTTAGATCGAGACTATTTAAATTTACCTAATGATAGCATTAGGTAAATCATTCTTTTTTTTTGCTGCCAGTCAGTCATATTTATTAGTTATTAATAAAAGAATATTGGGTAAAACTATACAGGGTGAGTGTTAAATAAGTACAAATATTTTCAGGGGGGTATATTTCTAGCCCAG